GTCGTTGCCAAGCGACGAAAACCCAACCCCGATGGCAAACACCGAGGGGGGGCGAAAGGGGGGGTGGAGTAACCACTGTGTGCCGTATTTGGCTCGGCGTCCTGGATGCCTGAAGTCCTGCGAACGATCGAGTATTGTTGTTTGCTTTTCCACCTGGCGGTATGACGACGCACAAATCTGGACCTTCATTATTGACATGAACAACTAGTTTTCCTCTTCTGGATGTTGGCTTTTCAGTCCACTACAAGTCACAACAAAAGGTTTGCCGAGCTCCTGTTTGCCTCTCGGAAGTTTGATGATGTTCTTCTTGAACACTTTGTTTTCCTCGCACCGTCGGTAAGGTAGATTTCACGGCTTTGTGGTGCGCTAACTGGGTGTTAGGTTCTCGGTGACCTCTACATTCACCCTTCTGTGACTCAATCACTTCCTTTCAAGGTCGCCGACGCGGAGGTAGAGTACAAAAACATCTCCATCCAAGGACCCACCGGAACAATCAGGACTAGCGCTTTAGGCGTCAAAAACCACGGCAGTCCCGAGGGAGTTATGCACCTCGGATGCGTGAAGGACAGCCGCAACGACCGTCTCCTGGATAGCGTATACCGCAGCAGCAACTTGACGACGGAGGTGAGGCGGAGCGGTCCTAAAAAGAACGTGTAAAGCTCTTCCTTTTTATGTCGGTATTCTCTCGTGTGGTTCGCATAGCGACCTAATCGATTGGGTACGCAATTCGCCCTGTGGGGCATTCTTCCGGCTTTCGTTTCAATGGGAAAAATTATTGTTCTAAATCGTGAGCGTCATCATGATGATGACCCAGCGATCGGGTCTTGACCATGTCATGATCCCATCATGGTCGGGTCACCACGAGTCATGATTTCGGTCATGATCGGCTCCGTCACCGATCAGTTACCGATCATGGCCGAAATCATGACCCAGTCATGACCGGGTCATGACCCTGTGATTGTCCATATTTTTTGCAGGAAGTGTCGACAAGAGACAGTCGGATCATGACTAGGTCATGATCTCGCCATGATGGTGTCATTTAACGAGTCGCGATCGTGCCATGAGCGAGTGGACCATGACCGAGACCTGATCATGTCATCGCCCGTCGGTCTGTCTAGATTCATCGCATCAACGTCAACCTAGCACCTATGCCGCCACTCTCACCTAGAAGTTGTCCCATCAAGACCAGGCTAGCGCCAATGCTGGAACACCAACCTAGAACTTATCCACTCAGCGCCTACCTAGCACATATCGTGTCGGCTTGGGGAAACGGTTCTTAGGGTTAGCGTTAGGGGTTATTGACGATTTCATGCCCCTGCCAAAGAAGATATTCTATTGTTTGGGAGCACGAGGATTGCATTGGGTGTAACTCGATTGGTTACCGCTTGAAGGGATAGAAGACAACGGTGTTGCAGAGCAGGGTAGAGGGTCAACACTCGGGACATGAACATTTTCCCCGTTTTGTTTCCTGCATCGGGTGTTTTCCGCCTACGGATGCATGGCTTATTTGCACACCCCATACCTAGGTCATGGTCGAGTCATGACCAGTTAATGAAGAAACTGGCCATGACCAATGAAACGATAACCACCGTGTCATGGCCATTCATGACCAGTTCATGACCCGTTCTTGCCCGAATCGTGACTCGACCGTGACCGAGTCATGACCTGAGCACGACTCGGCCATGGCCGAGTCTTGACTCGATCACGACCGGGTCATGAACTGGGCATGACTGCGGTCGCGACCTGGATCACGACTTAACTCAATCTCGTGATCATGTCATAACCCGGTCAGTCATGGGTCATGACTTGGTCATGATCGCAGTAATGCCCGGGTCATGACAGTCATAACCGAGTCATCGGGTCAAGACCGAGTCATAACCCGATCATAATCGGCTCTCCCATACTTTCTACAGTTTTCCCAAACGATCCATGGGACTCCCATGGGTCACCCATGGGCCGCCCATGGGCACCCCTTTAGGCCCATGGGCAGCCCATGGGCGGCCCATGAGAGCCCTTGAACCGAACCAGTGTAAACCTAAACAATAGATTATCTGCTTTGGGAACGGGCACCATAACGGCAAATAACCCTAACGCTAACCCTAACCGTAACCCCAAGCCCACACGGCGTGCTAGGTTGGCGCTGGTGGCGAGGCTAATGTGGAGGTGGCTAAGTTCTACATAGGAAAATATGCCGGTGGCGAACTTCCAGGTCGAAGTGCCCACGGTGGGCACTTCATGAGCCGCATATGGTTTAGCAGAACTTTCAGTAGTGTGGGGGAATGCCCCTGTTCGTTCCCAGATTCTGTGCGAACCGTCTCGTTCAGGTTCGACTGAAACCAAAGACACCGGCATGCGGATCCCCCTGTCAGTGGGAAAAGTAGTTTTTATTTCTGGTATGTGGTCGAGCACATGGATGAGGAATGTGACTACTTCCCGTCGCCGGCCCGTTGCATCCACCACGTGCTGACACTGCTTTCCTTGCCGTCTCTTCACCGCCCTGATCCACCAAAAGATGTGCGCCACGTATTGCGAGGGCGACGACTTTTTCGGGATGCAGTACGGCTCTGAGGTGAGCGGATCGATGGGGCGCGAATATTCTTTGAGTTGAAGACACCTTCCAACTCAGCGTTCAATCACTTGCAATCTTTCGGCATCCCGGGTTCAACCGCCGAAGACTCGTAGAGCTAGACTAACGTGTACGTTCTGCGCGAGATGCGAAAGTGCATCTTGACAGTACTCCGGAGTATGAGGCAACGTTCCAAGATTTCTTCCCCGCGGTACAAGTTGTGTCACATTCCGTGGCAACTTTCGTGTCTTACATAGCGGTGAGCTTCGCAGCACTCCACAATGAATACCACCGGCGGGGGGGTGGCTATTGTTTCAATACGCTTGGATACAATAGAGGATCAGGGGTCCATTGCGTGCCTCGACTTCTGTACCAAAGTGGCAGGATGAGTGTCCGAACGAAGGCTCTCTTTGCATGTCCGCACCCCCTTCTCGCCACCCTCCCGTCCTACTCGAATTCTGACAGTGCTGGTGCGGATCCACTGATGAGAAGGACGACGAAGATCTCTTCCGCCACGGCTCGGCCACCTGTGAATACCCGTGCGCTGGAGACGAAGAGCAAACCTGTGGCGGCTACTGGGCCATATCGTTGTACGAGTACGGCAGCGCTCTCGCAACCGACATCCCGGAGGGATCAAGGTACCTTGGCTGCTACAGCGACCATCGCTTCGAACGTGCTCTGTCCCTGAAGCTCACGACGAGTAACGACATGACACACGAGGTGAGTCATCGTTGGCAAACGATTGCTTCATGATCCATGACTAGAAGACGAAATATAACGGCTATCGCCCATCCACCGAGACGAGGTATGCGCGCGTAAGCTGCCTTGTTCTCACGATCTTGGGTTTGATTTTAACAGCATCCTCGGTTCTGCAGGTCGCTCACGTTGATGGAATGGGCTCATAAGTTACCGCGACACACACGTAGCTACAATAAGCTCTCTTCCACAACTATCCCTTAGGCAACTGACAAAGTACGCAGTCGTTGTAAGTCGTGCACAAAGACACTCCTTGGTCCTCGCCCGGTTTCGCTGTGAAGACTCATCCACCCCCCACCCCTGCGCCGCCGCGATCTGTCGCCGCGTTCAATCGTTCCTCAGTGGTGCATGGATTTCTGTTCCGAGTTCAACGCCAAGTACTTCGCCGTCCAGTGGGGAAGAGAGTGAGTTCCGACATGCTTGATGATATTGTTGTCGCCTTCACGCTAAAACCCGTTCCGATTTCTCTATCCAGTACCATCTTCTGTCCTGACTAATCTAGCACTTGACGTGGTCGATTCCCGTGGTCACAGGCCACCTTACCCGAAAAACAATTGCAGGCAGCACAAATGACCGTATGATATGTGCGGTCGACCGCAAGTAGATCGGGTGTCCCTTGATCATGTAGCCGCTCACCGAGCCCTTGGGCTGAAAGGGCAAGTTGATATTGATATGGATGGGTGAACCAAGTTCGTTTGTACATTCTTGTTTCGGCAGGTGTTTCTGCGGAGCTGCAGACGAGGACTACGACCGGTATGGAACGGCGACGTGCGACACACCGTGCAGCGGCGACCCAAGCCTCATTTGTGGAGGCAGCCTGGCACTCACCACGTTCATGGTGTACTGATATTCTCTTGTTGGTTCTTCTTCCACGGAAGGAAGGAGAGAAGCTTAAAGAGAGCGTGACTGCAAACGCCTAGTGCCGATTCTATACCAGCCACGATCACCGCACATAGAAGCGCACCCAGTCCAAGGTCAAGGACCATCTCTTGCCTCGTGTATTTCATTCTCACACCTCATACAAGGATTGGTATAGTCCACACACTGTAAACAATCTCGGAGGGCGTTCCCAGCAGCTATGGCCGGGTGCCATTAGGTTGAAGGTCCGTTGCATCAATGCCGTTGACCCCTTTCAACCAGGAACGCATAGATAAACGCAGAAAGGGTGTCACCACTCGAGAGCCTTTTGTTCTGCCCGAGGCTCGTTCCTGATTTCCCCGGGGGTAACCCAACACCTAAATAGTACAACGTTGGTATTGTGAGGGGTTCTTAACTGAGCACCCGTTCTTATCAAGTCAAGTCCACCGTTACTATTTTGTGTTTAGCCTGGATTCCTTACTTTTTCCGTTCCTACGTGGTAGCGCGTACTGTATAGACTATGTGGTCCCTGTCGTGTTTTGTATGCACAATTATCCATGAGAAATGAATGTGACGGGTGTTTGATCTGGCAGTTGTCTCCTCAGACCACTCCTCGTCAAAGGCATTCCTGATTAAAGACGGCGATTTTTCTAGCACTTGCATAGTAAAGCGCAGCTAGACTGCAGAATATCTTCAGCTGAGTTCGTGTCTGGGTATCTTTGAGTGTTAGTAGGAACGGTTCAGCTCGGCGACCGAATTTGGTTGTTTTCCAACATCTCTCGGGATGATATGCGTGTGTCTCGATGCTACATGCTCAGCTTGGTGAGTTGGTTGTTCTCGAGCATCTGTGGGAACGATATGTGCATGCCTATCTTGCGTTTCTGGATGAATTATATTTTCGGATTGCAGTCAAGAGTCGAGCCCGTACGCAATTAAGTCTTGAAGCAGCGACAGGTGGCATGATCCAAAGCATTTCGTTGTGCGTTGAATGGTTTGCAGGAGGAGTGATGTCTGTGTGTGGGCGGCTTGTCTTTTTCTCTCTTATCACCTCTAGTTGCTTCACTCTGCTCGAGTACTACGTTGAATTGAGGTTTGCCTGCTTGTCCAGTAGTGTATGGAAGCAGTCATTCATCAATTATTTGCGAGCACGGTTCCAGACTCTCAACACCGGCATCGGCCAACCGACTGGCGCTATTCAAAGGGACCGACGCTATTCCCTGTACACTGTGACTTGGTGATTCAGTCGGTGCCCAGCAATTCCACCGGCGCCACGCAGAGCCACCGGCATTATCCAAAAGGCGTTGCTGAGGGCCCACTACTGTATTTTGTTTTGTATCGGTATATTGGAAGGTCGGACCTTTCTGTGCTGCGCCTGGAATTCAGTGTAGACATGGCCGAGCAGGCCGCAGCTAATCAGAATGAGTGAATGAATTCCACTTTGCAGGATTAGGGTGTGCACGGGAGTGCTGCAGGTGCAGGAACTGCTGTTCATTGGCAGAACGATTTCACAGGTAGCTTCGAGAGATTGTGAACACTGTATGAATCGTGCCGAATAAAACGTCATTGACTTCCTTCGACCAAATACAGGAATGACATGGATCACCAGTTGCGTTTCTTTGGCCAATGTTTCGATTTGAGTGAAAATCAGCGGAAGAGATTCAACATCGCACATTATGCGGTCGAAACAATATTATACTTCATTGTGTAAGGGGACGGCCCCAAAACGTCTCCGTGGCGATGACAAACCATTGTTCGCGTTCGTCGAGGACTGCACGGACTTCACTACGCATGAAGTGAGTACCCGTGCACTCATGGCATGTTGTTGTTCATCCAAACATTATAAAACTTTCCGGTCTCTGCTGTCCCTCCACACATCCGTACAGACCCAACGACGCGAACGCAGTCCGTGGTCACAGACCCAACTACCGAAAAAAGGGTACACACTTCCAACAACCGAAAAAAGGGCATACACTTCAGCTACCGAAAAAACGGTACACACTTCAGCTACCCAAAGAGGTACACACTTCAAACATTTCTGGCACGTGGAATCAGAAATCACCAACGCATATAGCAAGTCACAACCACCTAACACCGGGAGACGAAGCAACCAGGAAAAAGGCCCCATCCGTACGAAGGAAAGACAGCTCATCGCTCCCTCAAACTCGAATATACCCTTCAAGAAAGAATCTCAAAAGACGTTCTGAAGAAAACCCACCAGGACAATGCGGTTTCCAGAACGATTCTGCACCGGCTTTCGTCAGGCCAGACGGGTTCCCAAGTTGTTGACGGTTTGGCCTGCAACCGACAAATATACCCCGGAAGGGTGACCGGCGGAGCTGTTACACTGTTTTCTGCCCATTTCGTCAACAACTACAATATTTTGTTCTTGTGCATTCACGGTTAGTCTACTTCCGTTTATGTTTACACGAATCTGCAGTTTAACATCTTCACCGGCCCCCCTGGCGCGGATGCCTTCCGTGGTCACAGGCCAACTACCCAAACAACCAGAGTACAACTCGAAAGAATAATCAACATAAATCGATACCTAACAGGAACAACAACAATAACAAAACCAAACAACAACAACAACAACAACAGAGTGCCCAGCCAGACAACAAGCAGCCGTCGCTTGGAACACATCGGGCAAACGAGATGTATCAAATATAGCTCGTCGCCCCCGCTCGGCAAGCAATGCCTATACGACATGAACTGAACAAAGTCTATATACCCGACCTGCAACACGATACCATTGAACATCCGCTCAAATAGCATAAAAAGGTACATGGATATTAGACACGCTTCTACGGAGGTTGCAGCCGGGATATATCAGTTGCTGGGGGGGTGCGAGTGGTGCTTTGCCGCTTCAATTCTATCACATTTTGTGCTTTTTTCCACCAAGTCGTCACGGCACCCGCCCCACGGCGCCGCGGGGATCGACCCGCCCCCTGTGCCTTACAGAAAACATGTGCGTATTACGTATCCCCTGTTAACACTTCCCAGGCACGGCGTCTGCCGAGCCTAAGGTACTCGTTGGGTTTCCCACGCCGCGGAGAATAGAGGACTTTTTTTTTTTTTTAAGCCCCGAGAGGAGGCCCCCCGGCCCAAAACTGCCAGGCCGCGTTCCTGATCCGAGATTTCCACGTCTGCCGGAAAAATCGGACGTATCCCGACACAGAGGGGAAGGAAAGCAAGGGGTGGTCGTGAACATGTTATTCACTGTCCGCGGACGGCAATAATTCAAAGCTTTCAAGCGCGGAATTCTGTAGACTATGCCCTTCAGTCGGGTGTGGAGCAAAGCTTGTGGTTGAGCGGAGAAAGGATACCCCTGGCCACGTTGAGTCGAGTCCGGCAGCCCTTGAACGATATCGTTGCCGAGGTGGTGGGAATATTGGTGGCACGACGGGAGACATCACGCTCCCTGGACAGATTTTCAAATCTCGACACTCCACGACGAAGAGCATGCATAGGTGAAACGGTACGAATTCGGAACGCCCTTGACAAGACGGTTCCAACGCCGCCCACCTTCGGCACCACCAATATTCTGCTTGGGAGAAATCGAGCGTTGGAAATCGGTCCAGGGGGTGTGCTATTTTATGTCACCTACGGTGGTAGTGGGCCACGAGAAGGCAACGCATCAACACATTCGTCTGTCATGCAATTCATAACACCTACCATACACCCCGTGGAAGCCAAAAAAAAATCCTAACCCGCCCGCCGGAGCCGCGCACGGTATACAGTTTTCCAACCAAGATGCAAGTTTTATAGCATCCGCGTTGTGCGCCGATCGCAAAGAAGGAGCTGTTCGCGCCGCGCTTTTGTCGTGGTGCCACCGATTGTCTTCAGACTGTCGACCGTACACGCCGCGTCCCTTCCATAAAATCGGTACACGTCCATTTTGAGGGTGCACATCTTACCTCCATACTTCTTCACCGGTCTTCACCACAGACATACCAGACAGCATTACGGAAGGCTTTATTTTTGCGACAGGCATAGGGTTCGTTATTCCGCTCCACTAGTGTTTCTACTACGATACAAGCTTCGATTGTGTGGTTTATGCAAGTTGTGGAAGTTCCATTTGAGCTCTAGGGAAGCCTTCCACCGAGATTCATGGCATCTCACGGAAGTTGGTCACGGAAGAAGCATTCCCAAAACGTCCACAAACAAGCCTCCCACCAGCTAGCATCGGCGCCAACTTCCGGTGCCAAGGGTCTGCGAAATTGCATCCAAATCCGAAAATAATGCACAACACGTTCACCGCAAAAAAAATGTTTTTCCTCCAACAACCTTCACGACACGGGTCAGGGCTATGTTGGTGCGAGTGGCGGTCAGGCGTAATTGTTTTCTTGGAACCTACTGGGACACTCATCCACTTAGAAGGTGAACGGTGGCATTGTTTCTGCCAAGCGTTGATGCATCAAATACCCGTCGTATCATCACAAAGGCTAGACAGAGAATGCACAGAGTACGAAGGGTAGGGGTTGTTGGCCACCAACAGACAGGAGAACACTTGTCACATTTTTTGTGTAGGAACACAGAGGAAGCTCCGGTGTAGCGGGGTTGGCAGCAGCAGCCAACCGACGAAACTCATAAGAACCGCTCCGGAAAAACCGTGCTACGAGAAGTCAACTATTACGCTGGAACCGTCCCCGGAACCGTCCAATCTCACGTTGGGACTTTCCTGAGAACGTTCCTAGGAACGGTTCGAGGAATGTGTTCGCTTCAAGCAAGGTGAAATCGTTACGGAATCCAGCGCAAGGTCGTTCACGAAAACTAAGATCGTATCATGCATAGGGTTGAGAAGCGTCGCTCATTCGCGGATCCAACACTCAACTGCTGTATACAGACCCTGCACCCGCGGAGGCGACAGAATGATCAGAAATTAGCCCTGCAACCTTTCCAAGAACACCACAAAATAATCGCACCGTGAGTTTGACTTCGTCGCGGTTCTTCACCACCGTTTGCTTCATCGTGTCATCCCACACCACCACTTTGTCCTCCGGAATCACCAAGCCTCCGGATGAATCAGCGGTCACACGCGTAGATGGGTCAGCGGCCGGGTAGTCTCGTAGCGAAGGTGCCGCTGAAGCCAAAGGTGTTGGCGGGGAAGTGCCAGACATGTCTGCGGGTCCACGTGACACATGACGTAACAAGCGAAAGTTTGGAAAACAGGGGAGAGCAGAAGTGTAGCCGGTGACGCTGGAGCGCAAACTTGGAAACGCGAAAAAAATTCCGGCGCAGGACTACTGTTGTCCATCTAGTGCCGCCGCTGTTGCCCATATGCAATGTTGCCAGAGCGGGTAAGGATATACCGAGCGGATAAATAGAGTCGGTCGGGGTTATATGTTGTGAGTTCAAGTTGGCCACGGGGAGCCGGGCCGCTGTCGTACGGGCGCGTGCTTACGTATATCCAACGTGTAAGAGACGTATTACGCATTCGACCAGCACTCGGGACCAAAATAGACAACGCGGTAGCGAGGTAGAAACGCGTACCTTCCATTCGAGATTTTCCGCGTCGGTTGTCCGAGGTCAGGTGTGTGGGCGGCGTGGTCAGGTTGGTCAAGTTTGGAGGCATGGGGGCCTCACAAACCGAAAATAACGAAACCACATACCCCGGTACGCGGCGGAATGTACCAAATCAAACAATCATAGCGCTGCAAAGCTCGTTGTTAGTAAACTTGATCGACTTCATAAGTCGCGAGGGAAGGGAATGCTGTACCCTTCTCGCGAAAAAATATCTCAGGCAGGAACCACAGGAGGGGGTCCGCCCCCCCCTCTCATGTGACCCCGGTTGGGTCGTCTAGCTGGTAGAAGTGGAAAATAGGGGCCAGACGGGCAGGCGATAGAGTCCAATGATGGGAGAAAAACAACAAACAACATCATGCAAATCAAATGCACCGGATACGGACACCGTACGCATGTGCGGATACAGAGGAAACACCTAGAGTATCACCGCCGTTGTTTAGATATGAACCCACCGGCTCTGCCCTTCCCGTAGCAAATTTAATAGCCGAACGACGCGCGCCCTCGCGCGCCCTCGTCGTGTCATTATGTTACTTCAGTGTTTCAGGATACATTTGGATACAGTGTCGAAGAGCATCTGCCTTTGTGGGCAGGTGAATTTGCTGACGAATATAGCTATATATCCACGTACGCATGCCACTGCCCGGGATTCATACCAGCTTTATAATCGGAAAAAAGGCAGTTGTTGGGATGGCCCGGGCACGTGCCCCATTCGTGCCAATCGTCACCACCGAAACGAGCAAGTCAAAGTTCGAGGAAGATACTGTCGTGAGGGAAAAAAATCCAGTTCGGCACCTAGACTACCTGCCACAGGCATGGTCGGGTGCACCCCAAACTCTGCCCAATATTACCTCACACAAAAAGGAAACCATGTCGTTTCAGACCGATACTACAAACGCGCCTCCAGGTGTAGTAGAGAAGAAAAAACATCTCCTTGGGCTTGCACCCTACTCGCAGACACACCCCTGGCCGCACGAAAGAAGTCTTCGACATCGTTCTTTGTGCACGTAGACTATCTACTCAAGCGCTTGAAGTACTTTTACCCCTTTTGCCTTCCGTAGGCGTAGGAATTTCGAAATCAGTCGGGGAAAACAACTTCAAACACTAGCTGCTGGTGTTAAAAAACGGCGCGTGGGACGGTGGACCCGTGGATTCGCGTTCGTCACATCTTTCCGTGAGCACTGACATGCGACAGCTCCGTGGGCGACTCGTTCTCGCGTTGTGATGTTGAAATCTCCCGACTCTATAGACATCTCAATGCAGCTCATGTTTGTGCAGACAGCCTTACGGTAAAGAAGGAAACAGTCGTCCCACAACGTCTTTCAATCGTTGCCTTTCAAGAAAGTTCTATTGGATCACTTTGACCAAGAACCTTCCAGTTAAACTATGGAACCTACTGCCCCTCCACTCGCTAGCCATGTTGAATCAAAACGCGAACTTACGCTTGTACGAGACGTCTTCGTGTCACACTATCGGGTGTGGACGAAACGCGAGAGAGCTCGGAGTAAATAGCCAAATAGCCAAACCATGCCAAGGCAAGCGCACCTACGCCAAAGAAAGTAGATCTGGCAGATCGTACAAACAGCACCCAGAGTGAACGAAGCCCCTACTTGTACGCGTTCCCCCAACAGAAGAACTGCGACAACCGTTCCTATCAAAGACTCAACTATCTATGCACATCGGGAACTAAAATTCACCACACGTCGTCGAGGAACACGCGGAACCACCCCCGCCGCGAATAGCACAACACCATCCACCGTTCCAGAGCGCAGAAGCCCTTCGCGAAGATCTACGCCGTTCCAGTCTGCTCCAGGGGTATTGCTCAATCGCTGCCTGGCATCGGCGAGAGTTGTCGGAGCCGACACACCCGTCGAGGACACGGCGCCTCTCCGAGACATGACACCAGCCCTCACGCGCTAAACGGGTCCCAGGGACGCGCATCAGCGTCACTCGGTCGCCCATCAAACGAACGTGCTGAGCTTGTTCGTCAGCCACCAGCTCTGCGGGGCGCCGTCTCTCCTCAGCCCCACGACATACCACGGGAAGATCACTTCGTCCAAGTCGGCGGCGGCAACGCTCCCGCCGCCGTTGTGTTCCGCCACGCCGCCGCTGCTGCCAGCCTTGCCCGTGTCTGCTGCAGTGCCGGCAGCACCGCCTGCTGCTGCTGCTGCTGCTGCTGCAGCTGCTGCCAGCCTTGCCCGTGTCTGCTGCAGTGCCGGCAGCACCGCCTGCTGCTGCTGCTGCTGCTGCTGCTGCGGCGGCGGCGGCCGATTTGGTCCTCAGAGGGGAGTACAAGGACCTGTCCAGGCGTTTCCGCAGGCGGTCCGCTCGTCTGCGGACGCCGTGCGAAGCCCTCGCGGCACCGTTCGCGCTGCTGTTACTAGTCCCGTTCTTCGCTCCGCCCTCGCCAACGCTGCCGCCCGCGGCAGGGTTGCCGCCGCCACTGCTGCCTTGCTTCGGCTCGCCCCCTCTGCCTGTTCTCTCGGCATTCAGGCCGGGTTCGCCGAACAAGTCGTCCGTGCACGCGATCGTCCCACACCCTATCGCTCGCTGCAAGGGCGGTGGGGGTGGGGGGGCGGTACGTGAGAACAGAGCCGTAGCGCCTACCACTTTGGCCATCGAACACGTCTTCGGGACACAGGCAGATCAATATACTGCCGTGGCCTGTCTAATTGTCTATGTAGGACGGTGAGCTACTTCCAGCAGCCTTCGCGAACACACTAATCTTGGTAATAGTAGGGGTTACGGACTAGGGTTAGAGCTACGAAACCCCCCTCTGTATTTCACAGATAACGACTATTACAGTGTCCTCGCCAAGGCGGGATCCGCCAATTCACATTTTTCGTTCCTGTGCTGTAGAGACCGTAAGGAATGCGCAAGGCCTACTCGCGCCATGCGCGTGCAACATCGCTTCTGCGCTACACCTTGCGACATGATAAACGAAGCAAAGTCCTGTCGCAGTGAAGTGCGCTCTACTTGTTCACGCGTCCGCCGGCCGTCGTCAAACTTATCGATCTGCCTCCCAAGCGGTCATCCGTGGCCAACAACAACCATGACCACGAAAAAATGTGGCGGCAAGAGCTTCTTGTCCGGGCCATACCCCTCAACGCTTAGCGTCGTAGACATATTCTCAGCGCCGAAAGCCACCGACGTTCTCTACACCAACGGTACGGGAGGCTAACGGTGCCCGGCACTCTTTGTGTGGACCCAATCCATACGCCCGACACTTCCAACCCCTCCAACGGGACTGCTCGAGGCCGCTTGGTTCAGCCGCAACCGTCTTGTATTCAGCAAACCCGGCAATGTCTCGGGATTGTCACTCTGCTTCCTTGCTCGACCACGAGTCATGGTGGTTTCGCGTGGCGCGTTGGCCGTGCTCACCCCGATTATCGTATGCCGCCCCAAGAAAAAAAAATACTTACACATATCTTCTTGTGCATAACACCAGCTGGCACCTCTAGTGAAAACTCAGTTCAAGGCTTCGATTCAAAATAAGCCCAGTATCCAGCCGGTTGTTGTCCCACTCACTGTAGAGTGTAGAGACTTCAACCAATCCCTGTCGACTGCTGTGGTTGTATCTCGAACGAGTAGTCTGTCTCTGGCAATATATACATTTTCCAGACCAAAAATAAAATCACCAGAAGTGCAACGCGGCACTGGTTGGCTTCAGCCACGCCCTTCGTATCCCGCCTTAGCGTTGCCGCCAGGCAGGACTGTGAGATCTTGTCCGCCAAGCTGTCCACCCTAGGCCCCAGGGTCTGCTCCACCGGCATGCGGCCCAGACAAGCCACCCCTTTGACGATCAACCGAGGAATTCGTTTGAGCAGGCCATCGGCAGGCGTGAGCAAGAGCGGGGAGGCGGGGGGGGGGGGGGGGGGGGNAGCGCCGTGAGATATTCGGCGAGTCGCATGAAGGGTGCGCTGCACCCTGCTAAGGGTGTTCGGCATCTTGTGCTTACTTCCTTGCGTATGGATGACAGCTGCGTATGGCTTACTTCATTTTCTGGGGCTTTAACTTCCAGAGACAATTATAAGCACTGTGTAACTGCCTAGAGGGTGCTTGACCAATTTAACACAACGTGGTGCGATCATGCCCCTGTGCGTGGAGTGAGCGTTCCCTACCCCGTACAACATGATCTACTCGACCATTATGGTTACCGCCACAAAAAAAAAAAACGGTAACCTGGTTGCCGAGTTCACGAGGTGAATTGGCTTGTTTCA